TGCTGGAGACTTTATCAGTTTTGGAAACCTAAATCAAAGACATGATAAATTTGTAATACCACAACTGCGTAGGGACCCTGTCGAATGGAACGCACCTTAAGATTTGTGAACAATATTTGAGAGTAGGCATTTTGTGTACATGGAAAAAGTCTTAGAGTTCAGCTCATGAAAGTGCTTGCATTTATAATGTTGTTCAGAGTACATGACCACCACCTCATGTAATATTATAAATGATAAATGAAAAAAAAAACACATTCTGAAGTAATTATTCTTTCACATGCTCAATTTAAATCGTGAGCATGTTAATTAAAGTTAACACATTAGATTTAGGACAAGTTTTTACAGGCTGATTTGTTCCGGGATATTTCCCATTTTCAAGTAAAATAGGCCTATTAAAAAGTTAATTAAATAAGGATGGTGATGGGGTATGACACCATTAATTACAAGTAAAACAGATTACAATAGCCTACATTGTACACAAGATTTAAAATGATCATGTTTTCAGTTATTCAAACTATGGTAAAGTTTTGTGAGGTAGGCTATACTCGACTCCAATTTATCAACAAACTATTAGTTTTAACTTTAATTTGAAGCAGACACATGGAAATAGTACGTTTCAGGCACACATTAAAAAAAGAACAGATCTCCCATCTATTAGTTTAGTTTAGTCCTTGCAAGCCCAATAAAGCCACATCTGATAAGGTTTGCTTAGCCACATCTGATAAGGTTTGCTTAAAAGGATAGGTTTGCATGATCCCGTGCAATGAAGCGGAAAGTAGTTACAAAATATATGTCAGGATTGAAGCTTTTCAATCCGTGCGCCTTACAGAGCTTTTCACCTACCCATCATGACACGCGCAGGGCGTTAAACCGCTTCAACGGTGTGTCAACGACTGTCGAGGTTTCTGTGGTAGCTAAGTCCCAGTGAACTGACTGTTAACCGATTCCTGCCCACTTTTCAGTGTTCAGTGTCAGGATTTCAATATTTGAGGAACGAGTAATCACACCTGTGAGCGTAACTGCATATTTGCTTTGTAAGAATATGCGTATGATTTTGGGGAAACACCCACTGTGCATGTGGAGCCATGCAAGGCTTGCAGTGACGTTACGGGCGGCAGTGAGCGGAATTCCCTTGTGCAGTGAGTCGTGCACTCCTAAATTGGAACTGAATCACTTTAGAGAACGGAGTGTGAGCTGCATACTGATCTGTTTCTGGAACTGAAGCTTCTGTCTTTGGCATGCAAGTCAGTGGCATCCAAGGGTTTGGGAAACATTAAAGGTCTTTAGACTGTAAACCACATCTTCATAACCGTTGCATGCACAAACTATTACATTTTTTTTTTTTTTAATTCTCACAATATAATTTTTATTAAAACGTTTTATTAAAAAGGGGGACTGTCTTTATAAGAGGACACGGATGAAAGGTGTATATACTGTATACAGTATCTCAGAAATTACATGAAATAACTCACTTTTAAATGACCACTTTCCTTCATTCATTGCATGTAGCAGCGGTATGTTCCACAACAAATTACTCAGCTGTTGTTCCCTTAAAGCAATAGCTCAACCAAAAATGAAAGTTCAACTTAAATTCCAGTCTGTTTCTCTGGAGATCTGCTATACAGCAAATTATTCATTTTATGACAGTTTTATGTCATTTTTTTATAGCTTGACAGCCCCATTCCTTTATGGAAAAGCAATTCCCAGGATATTCCTCATAAATTCACCCTTTGTGTCCCAGACTAGTGAATGCAATGAGGGCAAGTCGATTTTGTTTATTCCCTAGCAAGAACAGCAGTGCTATTTGTTCGGGAAATAGCATCTGCCTGCACGCTGTAAATGCAGTGGATGAAGAGAAGTGGTCGGATTTCATGAAGACCGAATATTATTCTTTTCTCTCATGTGAAAGGTGCTGTTATCCAGAACAAGCTGCTCTGTTTTCTGTTTTACCACATATTCCACCCAAATAGTTTGCTCAGTGGATTAATGTCATGAGAAGTCTGGAAAGAGCTTTTTAAGTGTTATTTCAGGTTCCTTATCATTAGTTTCCTTCCCTGATGAACACCTGTTTGTGTTTGGATTATCTGCAGTGTTGCCTGGACACAATGAAAACACTCATTATAAGACTGGATGGTTGGTGAGATTTTTTTTAATGAAGCCTCTTATGCCCAACAAGGCTGCATTTATTTAAACGTAATACAGCAAAACAGTAATTTAGTTTAAACAATAATATATTTTAAAATATTTACAATATAGTGATTGCAAAGCTGCCATTACTTCTGTCTTTAGTGTCACGTTATCCTTCAGAATCATACTAATATGCTGATTTGGAGCTCAAGAAACATATTATTATCAATGATGAAAATATTGCTTAATAGTTCTTTGAGTTCTTTATAAGATTTTGTGAATAATTTCAAAAGAAGAGCATTTATCTGAAAATGTAACATTATAAGGTGTGCATATTGAGACAAAACAATGGCACTGACACATTTTAATATATTATGCATTATATATTAAGTTGCTTCAAAACAGCTCAAACATGCATTTTAGTCTTGGACTATATAGGTTTAAGTTTTGTCTGTGAAATCAGGGTAAATGTCTTATTGTCACTTACAAACAATGCATTAGTTTCAAGTATTTATTACTTTTGAGTGCTAGATGGTCTTTTTTAACTGTTGCGATGTATTGTATAAAAGGAGCAAAGAAACACTGCCAAGGGAAACTGCTAAGTGTCAAAAGTTGCATCGATATAAGACTGGTCTGTTTATATAAGACTAAGCAGATTTTGCAAAGAACGTAATATTCACTCACCTAAAGGATTATTATTAGGAATACCTGTTCAATTTCTCATTAATGCAATTATCTAATCATACAATCACATGGCAGTTGCTTCAATGCATTTAGGGGAGCCGGGTACCACTCATCTCCACTACAAATAGGAAAAAGAGGCTACAATTTGCAAGAGTTCACCAAAATTGGACAGCTGATGACTTGAAAAACAGAAGTACTGTTATGCTAACAAATTAACATAACACAAACACTGTTCTACACTATATATGTTTATTGCATTCTTCCAGACAGGAAAAAATGCATCACCTCAGAGTTGTACTGCAAAATGTCTCTGAGATTATGTTGTTACTGATATAGAGACAGGGGCCAAAAACAAACTTTGGCACCAGTGGCGTGTTGCCTATGAGTTGCATTTCCTCTTGAGAAAAGGGAAACACACACAAAAAAGGGTTCTTTGTGAAATGACAGTCATTTCAATAGATGTTTTTATAACAACCTACATGTCTCAGCTGTGAATCTTTTATTGACTGGAACTCGAATTACGTCAGAGCACACTCATGCCCTCAAGTAAACAGACTTTCTTTCTACCTCGGGTGTTTCTCTAAGTCCTCCATAGATCAGGCATAATTGAGACAATGTCGTCATATACTAAATCCTTTGTAAGCATAGCATGGACAGTTTTCAATATGTCTCATCAGACTAGTCTAAATCTGTCACTAGACATGTTACATCAGGTTTAATATCTTCTCTGTTAGGTTCACCTGCACTAACATGCCTTAGGTACCTGGGAAAGCTCTTATGAGGTAATCCAAGTCAATGTAACACTCTTGAGACATGGTAAATAATGCTATGTGTCACTTCATACCTCTATGCTTCATACCTACATAGAGAACTGTGACAGTGGTTCTTGCAAAACATCCGTGAGAAAGTGTGATATCAAGGTGTCAAGTTGTGATGTCTTTTTGTGTTGTCATATATCAAATGCACAGTAGCTTTTCTTTCAAACAATGAGAACGAAATTCCATTCCTCATTCAAATGTGGTTTAGATGACAAAAAACAAAGTACCTGGATGTAAAACGTTATCTGATAGCATAAAATGGCATTGTGTTTATAAACGTTTTTTCTTTATGAGTTTGTGGGATTTTTTAAGTCGCTACAATATATTCTATATTAGGAGCTGTCTCTTTAACATGTTAAAGTAGTGTGATACAACTATGGAAAAATAATGTGTTAAAATTATTAATGCTTTTATTGTGTTTCTCTGAGCAACACAAAAATATGTTTCATTACTGCATGTCCTCGTCAGAGCTCATTTCCCAGTACATTCAGCATAAAGCTCATATTCACAATCTCAAACCTATTCTCAAAACTATCATTTTCAACATCTTCAAAATCAGTATTTTGATCGCTGACAGCTTTTTCACCAGATCCAATGTCAAGATTGAGTTCAGTACTCGGTCTCAAGTTTTACCGATGATACGTCTATTCTTTTGTTTTCTGCCTGCGGTGACAATGAGTGAAACGTCACAAAAAATATGTATATTTACACTGTTAAACTTTCAGACAGCCGTAAAGATGAATGAATCAGCTGGTAGAATGAATGACTTACTGATTGCCGCCACCTACTTTCAGTTTTAGTTTAATATTTAAAGTATCATTTCATGTTAACACTTAATGTTTCATTAGTTAACATTAGTTATCTTGACATGAACTAAAAAAATAACAATACTTCTATCTCTACAGCATTTATTAATCTTATTATTATCTTATTATTATGTTAATTTCAACATTTACTAATACATTATGGAAATCAAATGTATTTGTTAACATTGGATAATGCACTGTAAACTAACATGAACAAATAATGAACAATTTTATTAATTTAACATTAGCAAAGATTAATAAATATGGTGACAAATGTATTGCCCATTGTTAGTTGTTAGTGTTACCCATTTAATTTTTCATTCATAATGCCATTCATGCCACCTCTGAGCTTCATTAAGCAGCCTGTGTAAATATACTTAAACACCATATTTTAAAATATTATTTGAAATTAATTCAGCACAAAATAAATGATATATATATATATACATATATTTATAATACATTTTATTTTGTATTAAAATAGTATACGCCTACTTTTGAATAGTTGTCAATAAAGGAAGATGTTTATTTGCTTTTAAAATTGTGTAATTTTTGCATCTGCCAGCAGATTTATGAAGCAGACTGGACGATTAACACTATCTGGAAACAAACTCTCGTGCTGACGGGCGTGATTCCCACATACAGCGCCTTCTGCCAAAAGTAAGTGGTGTGAATAAATAACATGGATTGACCCAGAGCTTACACTGATGAGACCCTGTAACATCTCGTCATAACATAACAGTATTTTTATCCTCACTGTAGTCTTTTAGCTAGCAGTCATTCAAGACATACAGTAACAAAAGCTTTTCCATTGAGTGCACATTTCCCATTCATCCGTGTGTAATGCTTTTCTTTGCTAGGTAATACAATAAATTGTGCCTTTCTTGCCACTTTACTAATCTAATGAAGTACATTTGAAAGCAATCAGACTGTTTTTATGTGAGAGCCAAGAAGCCTCTTTAGATAACACATTATGTGGTTCATTCAGTCTTAGAGACTGAGAAATGAGCCAACTGAAAGCGTCTGGTTTAGCGGTTTATAAAACTTGCACTCAGAATTTCCATAAGAGAGAATAGCTTTTGTCACACCCATACTTGAAGCGCGTGCCAGTGTGATCATGTGGTTAACATGGGCTTGTCGGCACAAACACGTCTGAGAAGGACAGATTCCCAGCAGATGTCTTCCACCTTCTTTGAAAGAGAGACATGCCAATGCAATTCAGTGTTCTTCTTTAGTGTTATGGTTTTGGAAAGTTAAGATCTGAGCTTTGATCTCCTTAATAAACCAAGATAAGAATGTTTTTGTCATAACAGGAAATGCCTAATTATTTCATCCATTATTTGTTGTTTTTAGGAGACTGTGTAAAGTTCTACACAACTGCACACCATCTCATTTCCTCTGTGTATTAAATGAAGTAACCTTGTGAGGTAAACATTTCAGCACCTAAGAAATATTCAGGACCGTCATCCTCCAAGGGTTTGTTCAGTTCGAAAAGGATGTTTATTTCAACTGCTCTGAGCTGTTTTGGGGTTAGAGGAAGTGAGCGTGTCTGAGTGAGTTGTGAAATGACTAATGACTACAGAACATCCCATATAGTTTTAAAACTAGTATTTCATTATGAACAATAGTCTCCAAAGATGTATTGCTAATATAAAGGTTTAAATATTTTGCCATTTTTTTTTACATAAATGTCAATCTAAATTGTCACGTTGAGGGTTTTGTGTCTTGTCTGTGTAATCCATCATGTTTGCCCTGTGTCTTGGTTTAGTATCGAATGTTTCTTGTCCAGGGTCTTGTCTTTGTTTTGGGTTTCTAGGGTTCCTGTTCCTGGTTCATACCTTGCCATGCCTTTGATTTATGTTTGATTATGTTTTGAAGTAAAGTTGCATTTGGGTTCTCAACCAGGGCCCTGTACCATGACGGTAGTTGAACAAACTGGGTTACAGGATTAGTTTTGAGTTGACAAACCCAAACCAATCCAACCAGGCTTTGTTGGTACCATGATGTTGACCATCAACTTTCTATGTCAACTCAGGCTTTGATTCTGAGTTTTGGTGTGAGAAGTAGTGAACAACCAATCGCATGCTGAGAAAGAGTGAAACTGAAATTCATTTCTCGCGAGAGAAGCAGCGTGATTCACTTCTCTCCTCTGCAGAATATGAGATTGAAAAATATAAAGAATTTAAACAAAGGGAGTCATGGGACTGATTCATGGCGGTGCAGATGATGCTAGGCTCGGTGCATGGCGGTGTGCTCCACTTACTAGAAGCAAATTATGTTGAATTATGTCAAAACATTTAAAATGTCGGTATCACATAAAGAACTAAAAGAAACCAAACTTTCCCGTCAAGAAGAAATTCAAGAAAATGAAAATTGTAACTGCCTCTGTAAAAGCTTCTTTAGATGATGTGCTGCTCCCACAAATATTGGACCTTAGACATGAACTGAGATACTGGCAGCTGTTTTTTCTGTTTGTGTGAGTGAGTGTTGTTGATACGCACGAGTGATTAACAGGTGGCCTGCTGTTTACTATTATGGAATGATGATTCAAAGTACCAATTTTCTTTACATGACAAAAAAGTGTTGATGGCAGGGTTCACAGCTGCAAAAAAAAAAAAAAAAAAAAAAAAAAAAAAATTACAGCGGTGGAGAACCCCAGATACTTATCTGAAGCAATTTTGGATTGTACACCATGAGTGTACAACCGCAAAGATCAATAAGGCAAAGACAATGTAGACAGCTGGATGACTAAAGCCTCTGCCCTTAAAGAGTTTCTTTGAATAGTCGACAGTCATTATGAGTTTGCTGCCAGTGTTTGTTAAGTGTGTTGTGTTTTGTGCGTATTTTTTTTTTTTTTTTTTTTTTACTTTATTTTTTTTTTCCACTTTTTTATGGTGCCTAAAACCCAGGATTGGCGCAATTTAAACTGAAACATATCAGGCTAGCCACCTAAACCGGCTTCATGGTGAAGGCCCCAGCTTGCCTCCAGCTTGCCTCATTCATTATCGAAACAAATGGCAAGACCCATGGCAGGATCACATGACAATCAGGGAATCACATGAAAGACAAGAACGAGGAACAAGACACAAAACCCACAATGTAACAAATATCTTTATATAAATATTATAATTTTTTAAATAATACATTTATTTATATATTTATATGCATTAACAAATGTTTTTTTGTTAACCTTTGAAGTACATCATGTAATATGTACTTTATTTAATTTGAAGTTTCAAACTAAATGTATTTTAAATGTAAAAAAAAAAATCCTTAAAGTCAGCATGGAACGGAAGTCACGATAGTCTTTTTTTCCCTATTGGCTTTTCGAACAAGAAAGAATGTAAGGCGGGACTTGATGTGTCCATCGGGAATGGATTGGATAATTGAATCATTATAGTTTGCTATTGCTGTGATCTTATGTGATTGACAGGTTGTCCCGCTTACACACCAGTGAACATATCATCAGGTTAACACTTTATTTTGATGTTCCCTTTTGAAGAGTCTGTTGACTATAAGTAACTTTGCCACTACATGTCAACTAAGTCTCATACTCTCATTAGAGTATTAGTAGACTGTCTGCTTAATCTGCTAACTCTTTATTGTGATGGTCCTCCAACAGACATTCTACTGACTATGTGTAACTTTGCAAGTGCACTTTAACTTATTCTAACCCTAACCTTATGAGTCTACTAATACCCTTCTAACACTCTAATACGAGTTTGTAGACATGTTGGTGCAACGTTACTTATAGTCAACAGCATGTGTTAGAGGGACCATCAAAATAAAGTCAAACCGAGAAGAGATGTGGCAAGAGGAAAGGGGAAGACATCTCAGCCAGCAAACCAAAGGAAGCCTAATTGGGAAAGAGAATAATAGGGGAGAGAGGGGCACAACGTAACGCTTTTTGACTTTCTCAGTTTGTGTAAATCTACTTAGTGTTTATGTGGTTTTGTTTTATTAATACAGTGTACACTTTTTTTTCTTGATTTACCCTGAAAGAATGGAAGTGAATTGTGACAACATGCCCCATAGGTGGGGTACATTGTAACATGTGAGGGGCACATAAAAGGATAGAACATAATAGCTTATTTGTAATAGGGGCACATTGTTACGCAGTGTTACAACATGCCCCAACATCACAAACGGGGTTTAAACCCTGCTAGTGTCTTCTGTTGTCGAAGTATTAAAGAACTAAATCAACTGTTAAACAACAGATTTGAGATTAAAATAATATCATATTTGTCTAATTTTAAATAAACACCAAAAAAATAGAGGTAAAAAATAAACTTAAGTAAGAAATGTACTTTTACTATGGTTAAATAAATGTTCAGTGATATCTTACAATGATTTCTAAATGTTGGAGCAAAATCGTTTTCATTGCTAAGTCATTTCCATTTCTTCACCACCCACAAATGCCTGTCTTCAATGTAGTTGTGTAAAGTAACACTTGCAATCTGTTCGAGCATGTTAACCCCTCCAGTGATGTTGATTGATTTATTAAAAAGTAAAATAAGCGTTGCATTATAGAGAGACGCTGGAGGACACATAAATGTGCTTTTCCTGGCAGTCAAATTGGCCATGATCAAAATGATTCATTAAGAAAAGTCAGTTGCGATTGCAAGATGTAGCTATTATAATTCCACATTTACTTTATTTTCATTATCATTTTAAAAATACACATCAGAATGATCAGACTTTCCATATTTCCAAAATTAAACTTTTGGTTTTATTTGCGGCCACTAAAATACAAGCACAAGTTGTATTATGTGCCATGACTTGTAAATTGAAACAGAAACCTAATTGATGTTTATCAGCTTTTTTGAGTGGTTTGTGGTTAGTGAGCAATTTTCTGTAAAGATTATATATGATTGATTAGTAAGCTTATATTTTATCAATAATTCACATCTTCTACTTTCATGTTTGAAAAGGTACAATAGTCAGACAGAATACAACATTTCAGCTGCAACATCCCAGAACAACTTAACGGCAAAGATGGAGCTTTTATGCATTACTGTGCACAGGGGCGCAACTACCCAGTTTCGGAGGGGTATGCAGCAACAATTTTAGCACCCCCCCTGTGCTGTGTAATAAGTGAGTAGGAAGAAATGAGAGCTAACAGAAAAAAATAAGTGCAAAATTGTCGTTTATTAACACAATTAAACTATAGCTACTCCACCTTGATGAACCCCCCCTAAGAAAACTATAAGCTCCATTGTAACAGCAATACCAGTGTTTCTCACAGGATTTTAGGTAAAACTGTGGTAGGTGGACCTCTGTTTCTCTAGGGGGGTTCGGGGGCATGCTCCCCCGTAAGAAAATTTTGTGTTCTGTAATGTTAAATTCAGCAGACTGGTGCACTTTGAGAGTTCAAAATTAAAAGCTCCAACCCATATTCAGGGTGCAAGTTAAACAGAGAAAATTTTGATCCTCTTTTAGTTAGTGTCTGTATAAATTACACTACTACAAAATAATAGTTATAATATTAATCCCATGATAGTAATTGCCATAAAGGCTATTGTAAAACAAATGCACAGAAAAATAAAGGAAACTTTCATAATTAGTTTTGCACTAATTTCTATACTTGAAAGATACTTGCGCATAATGACATATTTCATGGGCCAGTGTGTCAGAAAAAAAAAACTAAAGCTGACTTTTTTTGACCAATGCATTACACCAGCACGGCGCCACCAATTAAGCAAAAAACAAAACAAAAACAAACAACAAACAAACAAATGGGCCGCCGATGTATGAGTTTTGTGGGCCGTTAAGACAAATAAATTAAAAAAGGATGAAATGTATTGTCTGAAATACATTCCCAGCGGGAATCTCAGTTCCGATGGCCACCGAGATATAGATGCCTGGATGTCACATTTTAAATCCTACCTGTTGGTTCTCTTACGAGAGGTTCTCTCGTATTGCGTAAGCTAGCTTACGCTACGGGAAAGATTCATCTTTGCTGAGAAGTTGAAGCCAAAAAATTATTCCATAATTTTGTAATCATTGTCAACGCAGTCTCTTCTGAGGCAGACCATGAGCGGGCTAGCTAGCGGCTCATTGGTTCGCTCAGAGAGAATGCACGAACCTATGGGAGAGCGGCGCTGAGTCGGCGGCCAATGAGCGGACGGCGCTCGCTCACTGCGTCACAGCCCGCCAAAAGGGGCGTGGCTACAGTGTATAAAGGTCGCTCTCCCAGCTCGTTCGTTGATTCTTGTTCATTCAGCGAGCTACACGCATCCGCTGTCCTGGGAAGAAGCCGCCGTCGTTGAGAAGGCACCGTCTAGCGAGCTCCGGAGTCTGAGGAAGCCGGCCGTCTGCCACCTTCAGCCGCCCAGCAAGCTAGCGCCATCCGACGCGTATCCTTTTATATTCCTTTCTAAAAGCGAGCGTCTTTTTAAAGATGCCTCGTAATTCCTGCGGCTCATGCCGCTCTCCGCTCGAGGATGGAGACCGCCACCCCATCTGCGCTCTCTGTCTCGGAGCGGAGCACGCAGAACTCGCCCTCGCCAACGGAGGATGCGACCACTGCGAGGACCTGCCGCTGTCTACCCTGCGGGCTCGACTACAGGCGGTCAAAACCGCTCCAGCGCCGCCTCTCACTTCGCCGCGGAAGAAAAAACGCCGCTCCCAGAGGCCGCCGGAGCCCCCTGCGGATCCATGTGGGCCGCCGCCGCCGCCCACCGACCGCTCTCCCTCTCCGCCCCTGCCGGACTTACAGTTGCCGCCGAGTGGCCGCTCTGTCGCCTCCGATGACACCGCGGATGAGAAGGACTCTTGTTCGCTGCATGCTTCGGACAGCGAGGATTGGTCGTCGATCGGCTCATCGACGAGAGAGTCTGCGGGGACCCGCGCCGGCATCGAAGAGGAACTAACGCGCCTCCTTTCACAGGCCGTTAGCCGCCTGGGTCTCGAGTGGTCTCCTCCCCCTGAGCAACCACCGAACCGCATGGATGGGAAGTTCCTGCACCGGCGTCCGGCCCCCGCCTGCAGCCGGGCTGCACCTTTCCTGCCTGAGCTTCACAGCGAGCTCACGAAATCCTGGAATGCTCCTCTCTCGGCTCGTAATCGCTCTGATGTGTCCGCTTCGCTGCGCTCAGTGGACGGAGCCGCCGAGAAGGGTTATACTGCCATGCCGCCCGTCGAGGACTCGGTCGCCGCTCATCTCTGCCCGCCCTCTGCTAGATGGCGGTCTTCTCATACGCTT